TAGCTTTTAAAATACATTATAACTTGGCCCCAATCTACCTTTCCCACCTGAAATCTATGGGCCAGTCAAAATGGCCTTCTTACTATTCTCCATATGGAAGGTATTCCATCTTACATTTTGCACTGTCATTCACTGCCCTGAATACACCCCACATCACCTCTCCCCCTTAAAATCTCGTTTTCTTCAAACCCTTGATTATCAAACACTATCTACATGAAACCTTTCTTGATTGCCCTGCCCCAAGTATTAGTGCTCTCCTCAGAAAAAAAAATTACCTTGTATTTATTTTATATACATTTTGTATTCATAAAATTTGTGTAAAAAAACTTTGTATTTCTGTACATGTTAACTCCCAGGCAGAATGTAAACTTTTTGTGAGCAAGTACAGTTTCAGAGAGAGAGAGAGAGAGAGAGAGAGAGAGAGAGAGAGAGTGTGTGTATGTGTGTGTGTATTCCTAGAACCTAACTTAGTATGCGGAAGGATTTGTTCTGTAAAATTTGGATTCAGTCAAAAGTCCACACTGAAGGATCTAGGAGGCTACATGTGGCCTCAAGGCTACAGGTTCCCCTCACCTGGATTAGGTGCTTAATTTTTTTTTCTTTTAATGACTGACCTATTAGGTCCCCCTTAAGTTTTTTCTCCAGTCTAAGCATCTTTACTTTTTTCAGTTGATCTTGTACCCTAACTACAAAACCCTTCATCATCCCTTTTGGACACTCAGTTTTTCAATGTCCCTCCCCTAATATGATATCGAGAGCTAAACATAATACTCTAGATGTGACTTCATCAGGACAATCTTCCTGACAATCACTTCCATGATTCTAGATACTCTGCCTCTCTTAATGCAACCTACTATCACATACTATTGACTCATATTGAACTTAAAATTCACTAAAAACCTCATCTTTTTCTTAGATTACTACTTAGCCATATCACTTTCATACATTTTAAACCTAAGTATACTTACATTCACCCCTATCAAATAAATTTCACCTGCTTGGATCTGGTACGATATTCTTATACCTTTTGACTCCAATGTTTTGGTTATAGCTCCCAGCTTTGTGTCATCTTCAAATCAAATTTGCATATGATTTATAGACTTGATTTCTGACATAAAAGATCTCAGAAAAAGAAGCATGAATGAATCATATGATAGACTGAGACAGCTTTTTGGTGTGTTAGTAACAGAGATGGACCTCATCAATTCATAACTGACCTGTCCTTTAAAAAATGGAGGGCAATACTCTTCATAAAGCTTAAATCAGGCATAAAGTTTGGAGAGCACAAGATACAATAATGACCTTCAACACTCAGGAGGAAATGAAAAGTGGGTTTTATAGTCTCTAAAAGAGGCAAAGTGACCTGGTGGCTGCAGCAGATCAGAAATAACACCCAGGAGCAGCTAGGTAGTACAGTGGATGGAGAACGGACCCTGAAGTCAGGAGGACCTGAGTTCAAATCTGGCCTCAGACCAAACACTTGACACTAGCTGTGTGACCCTGGGCAAGTCACTTAACCCCAACTGTCTTTAAAAAATATAATAATATCAAGTATGTTTTGTGTTTGTATATTCAGGATTATTGTTGACAATTACACCCTCAATTTATAGGAGTCTTTTGGGGTAGATTTTCATATCGTATTGAGATAGAGAATTTCCACAAAATCCATGTGCTTCTATATCTTTATTAGATACCACAACCACCCACAGTCCTAATCCCAAGCCAAGCCACATCTATGATCTTGTAGTGTTCGCACTATCATAGCGGATCATCAACTGATTATTTAAAAGACCTCCAGAAATGATCACTAAAGGAAAACAACTGCGTCCTAAATTCCTTCACAAAGCAGTGGTTCTCACAGCTAGTTCCGCTCTATTTTATATCTGTGTGGTCTGCTTCGTCCAACCATCCCCACCGAACTTTACCATATTCATACTTGAATAATATTCTGACTTTTCATCATGAGTCTAAGTTTGATATGGTGGCAGCAAATTTAAAACTTTGACACTTTATTTCAACAAGTAGGTATAATTTTAGTCACAAGACCCTGCCTTTCTACCTTCTACCCCAACCTGAAAAATCAGAGAAAGACAGGATTTTGAGAATTTCTGGGCCTACAATCTCAAAGAAATATAAATACATTACATAAAAAATTTTGTCAATGTTTACCTCTTTTATTATTCATAGGATTTTTTTTTATCCTTAAAAGAACAGCAGTTGAGTTGTGTTGTTTGTTTGTTTGTTTTTTAATAGACTTCCATGGCTGTGATATTGGAAATTTTGAATGATTAAAGATCAAATTATATTTAGAACAGTTTTTCATGTTAATACATTTTAATTTAATCTAACTCTTTGAGAACTGGACATTTAGACAGACATACTCTCTAGATTTATAGATAATTTGCAGAGATAATACACAGCATTTATATAGTAATTTAAGGTATGGTAACTTATTTGGAAATCACAAACCCATCCTATAAAGTAAGAGCTATTATTGGTCCCCTTTGTCAGATTAGGGAACTGAGGCTCAAATAAGAATCACATGGCTGCTAAGTGCCTGAAGTAGAATTAAAACTCAGATCTTCCTGTGTCCAAGGCTTCTGCTCCATTATACCACCTAGCAGTCAGATGAAAAAGATAAACGAGAGAGAAGCAGACAGAAGAGGAAGCACACCACAGTGGGTGGGGAGTCAGCCTCAAAGCCAAGAAGCGGTGGGTTCAAGTCCCATCTCTAACATGCTCTGGCTGTGTGGTCCTGGACAAGTAAACCACTTAACCTTCTGGTTCTCTAGCTAACTCTAAGACTATAAATTGAAAAAATGGTACTGACGGTTCATTGACTACCTTGTGTGCACTTTGAAAGATTATGCAATATATATGCATACGTGTATGTATGTGTGCATGTATGTATGAATATAAAAATCGAGCCACAGTCTCTAGCTAGAAAGAAGGGCATAGATTTTAAGATAGTTTCATTGTTTTGTGTTTCTTACATTTGTCACTTCCCAAACCACAATCTCCTTTACTGCAACAATGATATTTATATACATACACACACACACACACACACACAATATACATACACAGAGAGAGATACGTATATATACACATACACAATATGTGATACACACACACACACACACACACACACACACACACACACACAGTGTTTCTCCCTTGTTGGAATTTAAGATCCTGGGACTGGTTCGCTTCTTCTCTTCTGCCTTTGTATCACCGGGGCTTAGCATAATACCTGGCATGTAACAGTCACTTAATAAACTCTTATTGATTGGTTGGTTGAAATGTATAATCTTGCCTGGAGCACAAAGAGTTTAAGTGAATTGCCCAGGTTTATATCTACGTGCATTAAATGAATTATTTTTTGTGTGTAAATCTTCATGGTGTGAAAATTTGTTTTGTGGGAAATAAGCTTTTTATTCTTATATTGTTTCTAATTTTAAAAATATGCTCAAGGTATTTTATATCACAATTTTCCTCTGTGTCATTCGGAGACATTCCTATATGCTAAAACACTGTGGGAGTCAGAGAGTGATAGAAGTAAATAAAAAGATACAAGAGCAGGGTAGTGAGGCAAGGCTGTGAGCAAAAGATGGGAGAGGGAGCCAGGACTGGTCCAGGTTAGGAGAAAAGCCCACAAATTACATCAACAATAAGAAGGACCTTCACAGAGAGCCAACCTTCTGTCTCAGCTACTCATTTTTTTTTTACAAAGGTAATTCACAAAAGTAAGTTCACAAGATTAGCTGCTGTCACATTACAATTACTGATGCATTTCATTTATGTGGGTAAGCTCCTTGAGGGTAGGCATTGTTTTAGCATCCCCAAAGAACAGCAAATCCCTAGCAGGTAAGAAATATTTGTGGTAGGAGCAATATCCTACCTCCTCCCCCCCATGCAAATCAGGCTAGTTTTTTCTTAAAAGTTGAGACCTTCCTTGAGACTTGGTTGGCTCAGGGCACCACAAGCTCAGATCTTGGAAATCACTTCGCGTCACCTAAGAACAAAGAAGACAGGAAGAGCTCAAGGAGCCTTCTCTAATGCTTGGTTGTTGAATCACAAATTCGGTATAGAATTATCCATACAAGATCTAAGACAGAGAACATTTTCACCAGAAATGTGGCCACTAGGTGATTTTTTTTTTTAATTTCAACTCAGGCCCCCCCCATCTTTGAAGCCAACTCTATCACACTGCAACTCATGAATCACATTAACAATTACTAATAACAATGATAATTGACTGATAACATATTTTCTCCCCTTCAGAGAATATTTACTTGGATCTTAAAAGTACATTCACCTCAAAAAATTTCTGCAAAGTCATGGGCATAGGCATGATATTCTGGGCAGGAAAAACTACTGTGCCATCCATAGTATGCTTCTGGTTGCTACCTACTGCACCTGTCTAACTTGGCAGAATAGGAGTCTCTGACTTAACAATCTACTTATGAAAAGCCCCTAACCTCCTAGGATAGAATAGAATCTGCTATTCATAATAAGTAACAATTTTCTATCATGGAATGTTAGAATTTGACAGGACCTCAGAAATCACCTTTATAAGCAGAATCACAGAAATTGCAAGTCATAAGGGACCTCAGCCACCTTATGAGTCCAACTCACGCATGAAAGGAATGCCCATTATAACAGAGCCAACAAGTGGGTCATCCAGCCCTATTCAACAACTTCATTTTACAGACAAGGCCAACACAGCCTAGAAAAGTAATACATTAAACAACTGCCAGAGTCAGGACTTAAATAACCCAGGTCTTCTAATGTGACATACACCACAACTTAAGCAATGTGGGAATGAGGCCAGAGCACTCAAAGATATGGGTTCCAGTCTCTGTTCTGATACAATCTAGTCAATGACTAACAATGCACTTCATTTCATCTTGAGTTGGGGGGGGGGGTGAGCTGAGCTTAGACTCAATGATTCTAAGAACCCTTCAGATTCAGTCTACAATTCTATGCCAACAGTTAAAAACAACTGCCTTAAAAAATAACTAAGCACCAAGAAACATGCTGTTTTCTTTATTATTTAATGGCTAATTATTTCAATCTGCAATTCTTGGTAGGTAACCCTTTGCTTCTCCTTTTCTTTCCATTATCTTCATCATCTTTTACTATTTCACTACTCATTAGCACCTCCATGGGAGCAGGAGAAAGGAGAGAAAGAGGAAAGAATGGAGAAAATTTGTAGACTGTGCTTGCTGTTAACAGCTCTCATAAGAGTAGGAAAAGCAAAGCTAAAGTCCAAGTTGAGGTAATCAGTAGATTTCATTCATCCATAATCATTCTCTCCCTATGCCCTCCCTTCTACTCCCTGCCTCCAGAAAATTAGGCTTTATAATGAAAAAGTCATTATGTTCCCCTAACTATTGATCGTAAGAGGGCAGATTTTATATTTAATTATCAGTTACATTCCATTACAGAGGTCATTGTGTATACTACCTAAATGCTTTAATTGGTGATCACTGCACTGTTGTTTTCATTCTAAGGAAAAAAGCAAAAACAAGTAGACAACATTCTTGAGTCAAGTGGTGATTCATTGTGTAAACTGGGCAAGTCAATGAATCTTACTACCCCTTGCTGAAGACCTTATCTTTAAAAATTAAAGAAAAAAACCTAAAAAGTGCCATAAAAAAATATTCTACATGGAGATTCCGAGAATACCCATTTAAATATATCTGTTATAAATTAAAGAACATATCTGCTTAATATTAACCTATACTTAATGTTAAGTTCAATACCTAGAACTACCATAGGTACAAAGCACACCAGGAAATATCACAGAATCACAGAATTTGTGGGTTGCAAGGGATCTCAGTGACCAGAGAGTCTAGACTCTAAGCCATCAGTTTCTGCTTAACCAATTTCCTATCCTATAAAGGGCATATAATAACCAACCTACATAATAATCAACAAATAGTTATCAAACTCCTTCAATGTGCTGGGCCCTGGCAAATAACCTACATGATAATAATAAGCTACAAAATGAGTTGATATGTTTGTTTTAAATATCCACATTATTAAGAAAGATGATGATAATATAAGGTGTTATTGTTTTCACTACAATTTAATTAATTATATTTTCTAGTTTTTTACACCTAGTTCAAAACGTAGACTTCAGAAACCTTAAGAATTTTTCTCATCTGACATTTTTTTTAGTATATACCTATACCATTTAGTATATATGCTATACCACTAGGAAATCAGAAGCACATTTTAGTATACTATTTTTCAAATGTTAAAAATTGAAAAGTTACATGAGGAATCTTGAAAGAGTCTTCAAAATAAAGTACAGCCAGGGTAGGTAGGCATAGTTAATTTCTGTCTGTTATACTCTCTCTAAATTGCAAATAATGGGCTTGAGTTCCAGAGCATTAAAAAGCTGTAAATGATTTCTCCATCTTCAAGGGAAAAAAAAAGTTGAAATTTACTTGTCAAGTGGATAGAAAACAGGTCTGGAATTCTGGAATACTGTCTTACCCCAGGCTCTGCAGAGAATTGAACCGTAAGCTATAGAATTCACTTTACCTCTCTGAAAACTCAGTTTCTCCATTTGTAAAAATCTGGATAAGAAACTGTATGCCCACCTTATTTACAGGTATGTTATGAAGATGAGATAATACACTGGAAAATCCCATTAGAAGGAGACCACAGAAACTGAAGGTGCTATTAAAAGAGAAAGTCCATCTATTTACTCAATAGCAAAGAATGCCAATGACACAGGAATTAGACATTCAACATGTAAACCAAAGGAGTCATTCTCTCCACAACCATTAAATGGTGATTTAATCCACTGCTTCTTAAACTTTATGCTTCACAATGCTTGATGTACTTAAGTTATTAAATGAGGTGTTGGTTTCTTTTTAAATCAATTTTAACAGATTTAACATATGCCATACCATAAAACAAAAGTACTGAATCTGCCATAAGAGTTTGGCCATTTAGCCAGTCTACACATCATGCCCATGGGAGTTGGACGCAACCTTTGGTTCTCACTGAATGCCCACAATCCTGGCACAGTCTCATATGAAACTTAAGGATCTCTCATGACTTCTACCACTCCAAGAGAGTTTCATTAGTGTACTAATATATGTAAAAAGAGTTGTAACTAACATTTTTCACAGCTGAGGTGAGTTTACAATCAATTAACAAGGATTTATTAAGCACCTACAAGGTGCCATGCACTGTGGTTAAGCACTGGGGATACAAGGACAAAGAATGAAACGAACCGTACTCCTCCAGGGGCTTACATACTAATAGGGGAGATGACAACATATATAAAATATATGGCATAAACCGAAAGTTAATAAACATCTACCTACAAAGTATTCGAACACAAGAATGTTGTGATAATCGAGCAGAAATGTAATGAGGGCCTGAACTAAGGTGTAGCTGTGTGAGTGGAGAGAAAGAGTCAGATGGGGGACATTGTGAAGGTAAAAAACAGCAAGATTTGGAAAATAACTGGATATGTGGGGCAAGGAGAGAGAGGGGAGTCAAGGATATTGCTTCAGGTTATGAATGAAACACGAGAAGGATGGTGGTAATTTTGACAGAACAAAACAAGACTAAGGTAAGGAAAGTCAGTTGTGGGTAGAGGAGACAGAGATGCTAAGACATAGCCAAGTCACATGGGCATGGCGGTGAAGGTGTGGGGTTGAATTCACCCTAAGTATGACAGTAGGTGCAGGCCAAGGCTTCTTAAACTTTTTCCACTAACTACTCCTTCAGCACTTTTTAAACCACACAGTTTAAGAAGCACTGGGTAGACCATTTGGCGAAGGCCATCTGGGAATTTCCATCTTTAAAACTGTTTCATCAGTCAATGTCTTAAACTTATATATTAGTAATTCCTGGATATAGTCCCCTCTCTTAAAATAAAGAAAAATAATTGAAAAAGTCCTACACTCTCACAATATAGGAAACATTCTGTCCCATTAGTTCTATACCCCATTTCCATTTTTACCTATATGTTCTCTGTAATCAAGATTGTTACAATTACCTAGCGTATGGCTTTCTTTTATTCTTCTTCTCTTTCATGTTACTATCGTTGTATCATTGTATACATCATTCTTCTAGTTCTGTAGCTTCCTATTTTAACTACCTCAATGTGAACCTCAGCTGTTACTAAGCGATATAAGACACCTAAGTGCATCATGGTTTTGTTAGTACCTCCTAAATATCAGTGTACTAAGACAAAGCCCCATTTGTTCCAACCTAGTTATAGCTCTGAGTCAATAATGTTAGTGTCAAAAATATTATACCTGTTGTTTATACCTCTATTCTACATGATAGTGACTTAACTATAAGTAGGAGATGTATTATTAACCAAACAAGGGATAGAGATAATTACAAAAGATAAAAGATAATTTTGATTACATAAAATTGAAAAGTTATCACACAAACAAAATTAATGTATCTGGGATAAGCACAGAAGCAGCTGAATGGGGGAAAAATCTTCTTATCAAAATTTTAGGGTAAGGTTTTGATATTCAAGATATATTGTCAACTAAAAACATATGCACACATGTGCAAGTATGCATGTATGTATGTATGTAAAACCAAAAGCTATTTCCCATTTGATAAATGGTCAAAAGTTCTCAAAAGAATAAACAGTTCTTGAAAGAAGTACAAACTTAAGGCATACATAAAATTATGCTTTAAATATTAAGTAACAAAAGAAATGCAAATCAAAACACTGCTGAAGTTTGACCAAGATGACAGAAAAATGAGACTAGCTGGAGGGGTTGAGGAAAGACTGACCCACTAGAGTGCACTGTTGGTGCAGCTGTGAACATAACCATTTTGGAAAACAATTTGGAATTACGCAAATAAAGTGACTAAAATATCTATCCCCTTTGATTCAGATTCCACTACTAGGCATATACTCCACAGAGGTCATTAGTAAGAAGGGTTCAAATACACCAATCTTTATAGTAGCACTTTCCATGATAGCAAAGAACTGGAAACAAAATAAATACCCATCAAATGGGGAATGGCTAAACAAATTATATTACTATGCTGTAAGAAATGTTAAGTTATTTAATAAAGAGTATTATGGCAAGACTTATATGACCTGATACAAAATTAAGTAAGCCGAGCTAAGAAAACAATACAAACAATAATTATGGAACAATGTAAATGGAATGATCACCAAAAAAAAAAATCAAAAGTAAACACTGACAAATTACAAAGAATAGTCATGATCCCAAAGAAGAGATATGAGAAGATCTCCTGTCACTCATTTGCAGAGGTGGAAGGTCCACATTAAATATATTTTTCAGATTTTTCTTTGATTTATTGATGTACTTTACCTCTTCATATATACGTGTGTGTGTGTGTGTGTGCGTGTGTGTGTGTGTGTGTGTGTGTCTGTGTGTGTATATTTTCATTGAGATTACTCCCTGGGAAAGGAGACAAGAAAGGATACTAGGAGAAATTTAGATGACATAAAAACAAAAAGATAGCGATATAAATGTATTTTTAATAAGATTTCACTGATAACAACTGACATTGCTAACTTAGGAAATCTGTATAGCATTATGTAGCTAGATATCCACAGATATACAGCCTGACTGGTTTGGGGTAAGGGACACTGACTGTGGAAACAAGAGAAAAGCTGGATTTATATACTGGCTCTGACACTTACTAATTGTATGACTAGTCGGCAAGTCACAACCTCCTTAAGCCACATTTTATTCATTTAAGAAATGAGCTTAATAATATCAAGAGGACTTACTCCATTGTGGTGTTGGGAGTATCAAATGAGATCATGTACATGAAGCACTTTGCAAACTTTTAAGTGCTCCACAAATCCCAGCTCTTATCATTTTCTCTGAGATGCTTTTATAGAATCCACCCCAATGTCTATTATTAAATAATACAAGTCTGTTCTTCAAGAGCTGATACAGTCAGGACATGTTCATATCAGAATGTCAAAATAACCCTTGCTTCAGAAAAAAAAACAACAGACTGGAGAGCCGTAGAAATATAGTTTTAACCCTGAATTGTCATCGAAAAAGCCTGGCTTTACCACAAAAGGAAGTTACTGGCTGAATGTGGTTGAAAAGACAGGAGTGAAAAAAAAAAAAGCTATGTCTTTATGACAAATTACCACAAAGACCATTTCCTTCTTAAAACTCATTAACTCTCCCCTCCTTAATTGCCAACATGCACAGCTGAACTTAATAGAAATGAAACACTCCCCCCCTCAAAAAAAAATGACAGGTGAAAATATGATGGCACAATTCTCCAGATCTGTGATTTTAAAAAACAAAAACAATCACTTCCTTGTAACATGACTTTCCATAATTCATTTAGATACATGAATGAAGTTATCCATTGACTAATTCATATTAGGGAAAAGTCTCCAGTGAAATTAACTCAATGAGAAACCACTCCTGAGAAAGTGACTGACCCAGAGACATACCATGCTACCAGGCAGTATGCCATGTTTTCAATTTTTAAAGAACTGGAGAAAGATGGTCATAATATCAGGAAGCCAGATGGAACCACAGACGGTTAAAAAGAAACAAACACAGGCCAACATCTCTATTTTGATTCAGATGTGTTAAATATTATTAAAGTTTGGACTAAAAGAAGCCTTGCAGAGCACAAAGTAAGCACTCTGATTGACTGAAAGACTTTTTTTTTTAAAGACTGCCCTAGTTGTAACATCAATTAAGGAAAGCCTAATAAATATACCCAACAGGGTAACAAAAATTCATAAGGCCCTCATAAATATGTAATATTAAATATTTGTAATGTGTCATTCAATCAAACCAATAGCATCCCTAAAACAGCAGGTACTCAGAAAGTATTTAGATAGATAGGGAGAAAATAGGAACTCAACACAAATTAAAACTGAGATGGCATACTGGGTGATTACTGGTAGGCAAACTTTGCAAAGCCTAAAAACTCAGTAGGATCTCCCAGGGTGCAATGGTTAGCCAAATTATTGACAATAAGCACAATTAGGAAGCAAAAACTCAATCATCAACAAATAGTAGTTACTACTTTCTGCTCAAAGCTAGAGGGATGTCAAAAAAAAAAGGCCAGAGGAAGTGAAATTTCATAAAGAGAAGTAAGGGCTGACTAGAGTTGGAAGAAACCACACAGAGAGAAATCAACAGTTTAGAAACTTAAAGGAAACTTGGAGAGCATCTAGGTCAAAGGTGTTATTTTGCAGATGAGAAAACTGAGTCTATGAGTACTTCAGTGAATTGCTCAAGGTCACATGACTTTGACTCATTGTTCAAGCTGAGACTAGAGCTGAAGCCTTTCTACTTTTAAAGTACAATGCTCTCCCCACTGGAGGCCAGTGAGCCATTACACATGAGGGGTCATTTAGCATTTTCCCCAGAGCTTGAACAACTTTCGTCGTCCTTCAGCAACCCAGAAAAACCAGAGCCCAACCAAGATCTACAAAATGATTCATAAAAACAGGAAGCAATCAAATAGTGAATCGGGATGAGTTCCATCTCCATCCCTACTCAATCGAGAAGATACTTCATGCTGTTGTCATGACTGGCAGTACTTGCCTGCCCCAAGCAAAAAGTTCCTATTTATGACTGTATCCTGCTGCTCTTTCTGATGGGCATGACCTTTCTAGACTTTTACAGTCAATCTGGAGAGTTGTAGTTTTGAATAGAAAGAAATCCATCAGTGATTTAGATGATTAAACTCTCCTATTTAGCCTGTCAGAATATCTAAGGG